CAGCCTAGCATCTTCCCTTTGAACCAGGCAGACCAGAACGCAGCCTTCCAACAGCAAAACCCCACACGTACCAAAGCCCCCCAGCTCCCAGACAACTGTGGTACAGGGAAGGATGACAAAGGCACTCTTGCTGGGTGCAGATCTTCACATTTGCCTTTATTAAAAGCTCAGTTCTGCCTGCATTCGGCTTCGGAAGAAGTCCACATCATTTCACCACCAGTGACTCAATCTTCATTATTTTATTCCCTCTTTTAAACCATAAAAAAAAATGTGTTTTCTTTCCAAGTCACTTACAAAAACACAGCATGGCCAGGAACCAACTCTTCCAGAACACCACTCAACACACTGAGCAATTTCATCCGCGCTGCACCAAAATTCATTTCAACTCCATTTAATGCTACGGTGCTTTTAATTGCACTAGCTTCTTAATCAAACCAAACATCTTACAAAAGCACTTTACATCAACACTGCTACTTTCATCCAGCAAACTCACAGTACAAGAACACGAGGTTGACAGGGCTGACGTGCACTGGGCTGCTCCCCCAGCTGGCACTCAGTAAGAAGGGATCACAGCTCACTTGCTGCTGGGGCTGCTGCCAGCAATGCCCCAGGAACTCCCCAAATGTCCAAAGCTCAGAGGAAAACATTAAGAGCTTCAGAAGGTCTTTGTTTCACTGAATCTCAGATGTAATCTTTTTGGAGGACCAGTTTTGGTAGCTGTCATTTTTAATTACTACTATTACTTCTTTTTTTTAAAAGCTTGCTGTTGAAGTGGAAACTGTGTGGAAAAACACCTGACTTCACAAAGAGCATCAAGAAACATTAACTGCAGACTGGGTGGTCTTTCCTAATTAGAAATATCATTTCCAAATAATTACATGTCAGCATGTGAGACATCTGCAGCTGTTCCTGTAACGACTTTTGGACTGGGCAGCACCAGCCCTGATGCCCCCTTGCAGCCTCCTCCCCTCCTGTCCATTTGCCACCACCTCCACCTTCAGGCTCCCACTGGTTACTTCCCCATCTTGCTATTTACTGCTCCTTTGGTTCCTCCCTACATCAAACAGCTTTTCTTTAAGTAATCATGGAAATTACGTTTCTCGTGCATTTACCAGATCGGGCTCAGACTTCCAACCATTCACTTGTGTTTCAGTTTGCTGCCAGCAGATTCAGAAGGACTATTTTCATCTTTCTGAAAAGGCCTTTTCAAAGCACTTTGTATTTATAAGGCTACTCAGATTATGTCCCATGTGCAAGAAAATCCAAGTTAAGTGTCCTTATCTAATGGGCCACTGAATTCTGTGACCAGTTCCTCTGGATCCATCAAGATGCAGCCCAGTAACAGTATACAAACCAATTTTAGCACTAAGCAGGTGAAGTCCCCCCCAACACTTTCCAGGGCTTACATGTTGACCAGCTATGGGTCCATTCAAACACTAACACAAAAACAAATTCAGAGTAGGACCCGGGTAGCAAGAGAAAACACTACAGACGAATCACACAGCACTTAACAGCAAATAACTCAGAAAGAAAATACATACCTGGTAAAAGTGACTTTAGACTAATGCCAGGCAAGTTTCACATAATGATCTTTCCAGAGAGCTTTCAAAGAAAAGCACTCTGTCTACCAGAACGCATGCTAAGGTAGGAGAGCAGGGGTCAGTTTTCCTTACCTAATCTATACCCTTTATAAAGGCGGCCCTTCTCACCGTCCAGAGCGGCCTGGACATCTTCTAGACGGTCATACTGCACGAACCCATAGCCATGGTACATGCTGAGGGCTGCAAAAGTTAACAGCAGGGCAAGACCGGTTACAAGAACAGGACAGCAAGGATCCCACACCCAGGCCTCACATCACCCCAGCAGCTGGAACAAGCAAAGGGGCTCTGCCCAGAAAGGCCTAGGCAGGTTTTAGGGGAGACCCAGATCTACTGGGATCAAAATGCACAGCTTAAGAACTCTGAAACGTATTTCTTAGACAGTTCCACAAAGACAGATCAGCTTCCTTCTGACAAGGCAGTGACCAAAAGTATCAGCCCACAAAGTGACCGAGACTTGATTAAGAGACTGCGCAGTCACTTGAAAGAGCAGATTTGCTTGATATAACGTGGCACCACAGCCCCAGAGATAAAGCATGCTCGTACATACGCGCTGGGTTTCAGCAGTACTCAAAGAATTACTTTTTCAGAAAGTGCAGGCAGATAAAGTTATCATTAAAAGGTCACTTTTGAGGGAAAGCATTAGTCACTCCTCTCATCAGCAGCAAGCAGCATTCGACAAGCATGACAGTTATATTTCTGACTGAATTCCCAGCCACAGAGAGGCATAAGATAAAATACTAACCCCTGATTTTGCCATATTTTGAAAATATCTCTTCCATTTCTTCACGAGTCATGTGGTCTGTGGGCAAATTGCCGACAAAAAGTCTTCTCTCTAAATCCTGAGGGTTGGTGCTGTTAGTGAAGTCGCTCTGTTTGATGCTATTGCTCTTGCGTCCTCGGGCCATTTTGCTTTCGTTCCAAATCCAACTCTTCGCAAAAAAGAGAAATGGCCACGCATATAATTTCAATCCACGACATTAAAATTAAACTGGAACAAGATTAAACTTAACAGCTTTGCAGACTAGAAGCCAACCGGGTCTGTTTGACGCAAGCTTCGCTCCAGAGAAATCTTAATACAACTGACACAGAAGGCAGGAAAAAACGTGCATTGCAGCATCTGGGGTGAGCTTCCTGTAACACCGAGAGGTAGGAAGCCTGATCTACTTCATGGATGTGTTTTAGTGATTTATCTCCAAGCTAAAATAGAATTTAAACTCATTTCTTACTGAAGAAAATGCAGCTTTCCGATACACCCATTGTTTTATCTGTTTCTTCTGTTCACTGGTAAGAAGTGCTGAGGTTTAAGCGGTATTTTAACAAGCAGAAAGGAAACACTCCACATCACACAACAGGACCCAATTATTTCTCGATGGGCTTTCAGTGAGATGTCACACAGTACTTTTAAATGCGCTTCAGTGACCACACTTGGATCCCTTTCCCAAAGGGGAGAGCAGTTCCTCATTCGTGCCACTGCTGAGCAGCCCCACCACCACCACCTCCCACTGAAGGCGGGTCCACAGCAGGGAACATCACCACCCCCACACCCAGCTGGAGCACTCAGCAACATCCACTGCACCCACAGCTCCAGCACACCACTGGGAAGGAAACAAATCCACCCGCAGCATCCAGACCAAACCCATCAGCCCAAGCAAAAGAAAAAACCCATCCAGGATGCATCATTACAAGATGAACCTACAAGGTCGAAAACTATTTGAAGAGTGAAGTGTAATCCCTCCCTGAGCATCCATTGCAGAAATACAGGATAGGAAGGAACTCGGGGAAAAAAAATACTGTGAAGCTGAGTAAATCAACAGAAACTTCTGGTATCTGCCATGAGATGCCTTCAACCAACACAGCCTCTAATCTGCATTCACTGCAATCTGAAAGCATTATCTAAATAAACACGCCAAACACCCAAAAGCTTAAATGGTGTCACAAAAGTACTTCTACCACACTTAGCATGAGAAATGAGCATGTTCAGGATTTGAGGCATACCACTTGGATTATGATTTTTTATTTTAAAAGACAATTGAATTTACATTTGTATCACTTGTCCTCCTTCCCACAGTTCTGCAGAAGAGGAAGGCAGAGAACATCTCCCACTGTAATGCTTTGTTTCAGTATGAACTGAACCTCCAGAACAGGAAGGGGGCAGAAACACCCCAAAACCAGCAGGAAAGGTCAGCGCTTACATCTTATTCGCTTCAGTCCTCCTGTGAGTCTGCTCCCCTGCTACACACACAGCTTCACCCACCCCATCAGAAGCAGCAGCTCTCGCCCCATTTCTCCTCACATAGGCATTAGATTTGGGTCCTACAATTGCAGCTGAGGGAAAAGAAACCCAACACTCTGCCAAGGTCAGCAGGGAAGCACAGGGCAGGGAGCAGGCTGGAGTCAGACAGGGAGTCAGCACTGCAGGACGGGATGGGGACACAGCAGCCAGGTGGGCACCGCGCAGGATGGGCTCCGACAGCACAGCTCGGGCTGCTCGCAGACACTCACAGTGTGACAGGTTTTCCTTCCTGCATGGAAGTTCTTAAGGAAGATTCCCTTCTCTTTCCTCGAGGGGCGGCAGCAGGAAGGAAGCCCCAGCTTTCCACTCGGCTGCTCGCCTTCCAAGCACGGCCCGGCACCGAGGTGTCACACAGCGCTCAGGGCCTCCAGCCGCCGCTGGGCGATCGCGGTGCTGAGGAGGGCCCCGCAGTCACCGACCCCATAGAGTAGAACTGCGGCTCCGACACCCAGCGCCGCGATCCCGGGCACGGCAGAACGAAACGAATAAAACCCTACCGGTGGCAAACGGGCGGCGCCCGGAACCCACAGCTCACCGCGAGGCTCCGAGCCGCTCGGCCCGGCCCTTCCCAGGCGGCCACAGGGTCCCTCCGGCGCCGCCCGCCGCCTCCCCGCGGCCCCGAGACGGACGGAGCCCCGCGCTGCGCTACGCCTTCCCTGCGGCCCGCCGCTCACTTACCGCCTCGCCGGGCCCGCTCCGCCTCAGGCCGCCGCCCGCCAGGACAAAGGCGCCAACCGCCGCTGCCGCACGGCGCCGCCGCAAAGCGCGGAGGTGAGAGCCGCCGGAAGGGCGCTGACTCGCGCTTTACGGCGCGGCGCGGCGCGACGCACTGACGTACGGCGCGGCGCCGTGACTGCCGGCGGATGGGGGGAGGCCTCGCGCCGAGCACGGCTCCCGGCGTGCCTCGCGGCCACCTCCGCAAAGCACCATGGGATTTGTAGTCCGTCGGGGGCCGCGGCCGCGGGGCGGCGCTCTCGACGCCCACCGCGTTCAGGCCGCCGTGGAGCGGATGGGCGCTGTGTGCTGCGCCGGGCGGTGAGCGGGCGCCGCCGGGAGCTGGGCCGGGAGTGCCGGTGCGGGATGAGCCTGGTGCCACAGTCCCGATCTGCAGCAGCACCCAGACATCGTCGGGACTTCCCAGGCTGAGCCTGCGAGTGGCGGGCCCAGAAATCCCCATGCGTGTCTTCGGCTTCGGCTCTGCCCTCACAGCTCCCTGGGGCTCTGGGTGCACCTGAGTGCATCGGTTCTGGGAAATGACATCATGGCGGGGAATGTGGAGTGCATGGCCTGCGGCCAGGGCACAGCGCGGGGCAACAGCGGGAGGCAGGGCTGCGGGCTGCAGCTGGACCTGGGGTCAGCCTTTGGGACACAGCTGGACTCCTGCAGCACTGGAAGCAGGGCCATTCCTGCAGCGGTGCCCACGGGGAGGATGGCGGCACCATACGCGGTATCCTCGAGGCTGTGATGGCAGTGCTGTGCTGGGATGGTGCTGAAAGTCCCCCCCACAGCACGCGCTGCACGCTGCAAACCTGCATATGGGGAAGTGTCCGGAGAGCTTAAGGGATGGGAACTTCCTTGGGGATTGCTTTGGGACGGAGGGAAGGGAGTCGGGGCGGTGGGAAGGCTCAGAGCCCTGCTGCTCTTTTGCCTCTTCCCGTATCGGGTTGCTGTGTTTCTGGGAACTCTATGCAGATACCAGAGCCTGTGGGGAACGCTGAGGGGCTCTCAGGACTTTTTAAAAGTGAAGTGAAACCTCACACTTCTGCCTGAGGAAGAAGCTGTTGGGGCCAGAACAAAGATCTCCTCTGCTTCCCATGGCAGATTCCCGCCTGCGGCCGCACCTCCTTCACCCAGAAAGAAGCTGGAAGCAGCTGCATGCTGATATCCACCCGTAGCTCGGCCGTGCCGGGCCGGTGGCGCCGTGCGGGGGGACGGCGGGAAGCGCCCCGGCCCCGCACAGCTCTCGGCTACGCTCCGCGGCCCGGGAAAGTCCCGGGGCGGCGGGGGCTGCCGGTGGGGACTTCGTCGCGGGAGTGCAAGCTCGGTGACTGCAGGATGGGCGGCCCCTGCGGCCCCTTCCTGGGCGGAAACGGGTCGAGCCGTTAATATTGGCTGCCCGGCTCCGCACGGCTCGGTTGGACTCGGGACGGGACGGGCGGCACGGCTCGGATCGGACCGGATGGGCGCGGCTCGGGCCATGGGGCGGCTCGGGCTGCTGGGGCTCCTCTGCGCGCTGCTCCTGGGCGTAAGTGCGGCGTCCCGCGGGGCCGGGGAGCGGGGCCGGGCCGGAGCTGCGCCGCTGCTCTGTGTGTCGCGGGGCCCGCAGGGCGGCCGGGCTGCGGCAACGCTTTCCGGGTGAGAGCGCCCGGCGCCGTCGGGCCGCTGAGCTCCGGTCCCGGCGGGAGCGGCCCGGGGCCGTCGTCCAGCGCGGTGCCGGGAAGGATGCGGGGAGCCCCTGGCTGGGTGCCCCTAGGGGTTCCTGCTCCCGGGCGCAGAGCTTCGTCGTTCCTCGTTCTCGTGGTTGAGATTCCCCCGGCAAGGGCTCGGCGTTTTCTATTCTTCCTACTCCATATTGCCTCCCCTCGCCCCAAAATCCCTGTCGCCGTTGTTTGGGGCGCAGCCGTGAATTTGAGGAGCGGAGAGGGCAATGTGGGCAGTTCCCTGTCAGCAGGAGTCCCGGCCCGTGTCGAGGCAAGGCATGGGACCGGCATGTTGTCCTTGCTGGAGGGGCTGTGGCAGCCTATGGCTGAGCCCTGTTGTGGGGTCTTGTGGGTTCCATGCAAGGTCGGGCCCTGGGGAGAGTGGCAGAGGCAGGGTGGGGTGTCTGAGCACCCTTTCGGTTCCCCTTCCTGCCTGAAGTCACAGACGCATGGTGGGGGGGTCAGTTCCCTTGTACAGGGTCAGGCATCACAAGCCAGGCCTTGCAGTGCCCCTTCACACCAGGACAGCCCACAGGACCATGTCGGGGGTGACCAAGCGAGGAGACAGCAGCCTGTGTGGTTTGACGTTCCTGCCCGGGGAAGGGACTGGTGGCACGGTGGGCACTGCTCCCCCTGCCCAGCACTGCAGCGCTGGTGGCACTGGCAGAGGCCCAAGGTGAAGAGCAGTCACCACCCATTAGGAAACCTGGGAAAGTACGGGGCCGCCCTACAGGAGCCACTGCCATCCCACTTCAAAGAGAGCGCTGGCAGTGCCAGGCAGTGCAGGCAGATCTGCTGCGGTCTGTGGTTAGCCCAGGCATGGGAAGTGTGGTGCAAGGAAAACCTCACCTTGGGGCACGGCTCGGAGGATGTGTGGCTGTGCAGGAGTGTGGCAGAGCAGCATCTCTTCATGGGTCTCGTCTCTTCCAGTGCGGGCAGCCCGGTGATGCTGTGAATTGCTCTGACAAGCAGTATGAGCACAAGGGCAAATGCTGCAACCGATGCCAGCCAGGTACAGAAATACCTTCTCTTCCCTGGGCCGTGTAGCTGGGGCTGCGTTTGGCAATTGAGCAGCATGCCACAGTGGCCCCAGCACTTATCCCTCCTCACCAACCATTCTTGCAGGAAAGAAGTTGGCCTCTGAATGCAACGACACAGAAAGCTCTGTCTGCACACCCTGTGACAACGGTCACTACCAGCAGAGCTGGACTAAAGAGAAGCACTGCATGCCCCATGACATCTGTGAGGAGAGTAAGTGTTCCATGTCCCCAGTGTGTGGGGCTGCAGGGGCTCACCCACAGCTACCCAGGCTCACCCTCACTGTGTCCCCACTCCCTCTGACAGACGCTGGCCTCATCGTGAAGAGACATGGAAATGCAACGCACAACACTGAGTGTCAGTGCCGGGCTGGCATGCACTGCTCTGATGCCAGCTGCCAGACCTGCGTGGAGAATGAGCCCTGCAAGCAGGGCTTTGGCTTTGTGGCAGGTGAGACCCAGCCGGTTCCTATCCTTGCAATGGGCCCCATGTGCTGGAGGCATCGAACTCAGGTGCTCCCAGGGATGGAGGCTTCCTCTGCATGGAGCTCTACCAGAGCTTTGTGAGGGCTGCACTGCTGCTGACCTTCGTGCAACCTCCACTCCCTTCCAGCCGTGGCTGAAGCCCGGATGATCTCACCGTGTGAGCCCTGTGAAGAAGGCACCTTCTCCAATGTATCTTCCAAAACCGAGCCGTGCCACTTCTGGACAAGGTCAGTGTCAGCTGCACCCTGTGCCCCATCTTGTTCCTCTCTGCACATCCCCTGCTGCCACCTGCCCTGTGGCACTGGGATGAGGCACCGGGATGCCCCAGACTGGTGCAGGGCAGGAGCGAGGGTAGAAGGGTGCAGTGAGACCCAGGTGGCTGAGTTGGTGGCAGGTGTTGTGGCATTCCTTCAGTGTGCGTGGAATGCCAGACCTCAGGGGATGGGGCCCAGACCCCAGCTCACTCCTGTCTGTAAAAAGCAGCTGAAGAGTTACTCATGTTCCTTGGTAGAAATGTGAGCATTACCTCTGAACTGCATTAGTCTCGCCTCAGCTGCCAGCCATTGGATTTCACTTTGCTCCTGTCTATGGCCAGAAATTACCTCCCCACTGAGTCACTTGTGGCATGCCATCGAGCCATCTCTGAGCTGTTCTGCAGCTGCTGAAGTGTCCCAGCCCCAGTGTCCCCCTCCTGTGCCTCAACCCAAGGCACATGCCCACCTCTGGCAGTTTCAGCAGCTTCTGACAGGGCCCTGGCATCTCCATCCCCATCTCACCCCAGGAGCCCCACTGCTGTGCCCTGACCACGCACCCCCAGGGCCCAGGGGATGCTGACTGCACGTGTTTGGCTCCCAGCCCAATGGCTGTGGGGCTCCCACTATGGTGACGCAGTCTCATTCTTTGCCTGCAGCTGTGAGGAAAAGGGGCTCGTGGTGAAGGTGAAAGGGACGAACACTTCAGATGTGATCTGTGGTAAGTGCTCCATACCCCTGTCTGCTGCAGAGTTGATGTGGGCTGGAGCTCTGTGCAGCCCTCTGAGTCCCCATCCCCTGGCAGAGTCGAGCCGGCGCTCATCGCTGTCGGTGCTGATCCCCATCACAGCTGTGGTTGTCACCTGCCTGGTGGGCATCTGCATCTACTGCCTGGTGCACACAGGTGAGGAGCCAAGTAGGGAAGGCAGCGGCAGTTCTACCAGCAATGGGGAGGCCCTTCAGGGGGTGGCAATGTGGCACCCAGCCTCTCCAGCTCCGAGCTTGTTGGAGGGCTGGGGGCCAGGCAGGGCAGGACCTCTCCCAATGGTGGCCTTCTCTCTTTTCCCTGCAGACCTCAGGCGCCGTGGAACGAGGCAGGTGAGTTGTCTCCAGCAGTGGGTTGGGGTCCCTGCTGGCATGGTAGGGATGCGTGGGCTGCAGAGCAGGGGCTATCCTAGGGCTGCTCAGTGGGGACGGGGCCACCAGGAACCTACGCAGGGAACCTCTATGGGGTGAGGCCCCTGTTCTGCAGAAGGAGAAAGTGCAGGAGGCTCCCGTGGAGAGATGCGGCTGTGGGCAGGGGCTGTGACCGCTGCTCCTGCCCCTGAGCCCCCTGCTGGCCCTGACCTCCTGCCCCCACACAGATTGAGACCGAGGTGCCCAGAGAGCTGGAGACGCAGCAGCCGGAGGAGGTGGACTTCCCGGTGCAGGAGACCCTGCTGGGAGGGCAGCCCGTGGCACAGGAGGACGGCAAGGAGAGCCGCATCGCAGAGCAGGAGCAGCTGTGAGAGTGCGGGAGCTGCCCCCGACAGGAGCAGCGGGCAGGGCCAGCACTGACCCCCCTGCAGTCGGGGCGGGAGGTGAGCATCGGCCCCAGCGCGGCGATGCCACGGGGCACAACCGCCCGCACGTGGGCAGCGCAGCCGGGCCGGGCACCCAGCGGAGTGCTGCGGAGGAGCCGGGCAGGGCCAGAGGTGGGCAGAGCCCGTGGCGGGACCGAGGCGGAGCCCGACGGGATGCCACGCAGGAGCCGACCCGAAAAGCAGCTCTGCCCGGGGGACCCTCGGTGGCCCCACGCGCAGCCGCCACGGCGGGACCCGGCGGCTCGGTGTCAGGGCGTGACGGTGCCGGCCCGGCGGGGACGGGATGCGTGGAGACAACAAACCAACCCAAAAATTCCAGTCCCCGACCCACGCGTGTCCGGAGCGCGGTTCTGCGCGAGGCGGTGCGCGGCCGCTTCGGTGCCAGCAGGGGGTGCTGCGGGGCCGCCGGCGGCGCGGAGCGGGCGGAGCGCTCCCGCACAGCCCCGCGCGGGGGGCGGAAGGGTCACGGCCGAGTGCGGCGCCCTGCGGCGGCCCCGCGCCCCGTGTCCCGTAGCGATCGCGAGGCGAAGGCTCTGCCGGGGGCGGCCCGGCTCGGCACCGCTCCCTTCGGCCGCCCCCGGCCCCGCCCGACCCCGCGTCGTTCGTCCCCGCAGCGCTCTGCGCCGCATGCGGCCCCCACCGCCCGGCCCGAGCTGCGATGCTGCCGGCTGCTGACATTTCCGCGGTTATTGCTCCTCTCCGAGCTCTGCCATCACCGTTACAGTGGGAACAATTACACTCAATTATTCTCCACCACACCGTTGACAAAAAAAGATGGCATTTAAACTTTAATTATTCTCTCGGTGTGCGTGAGCAGCATGGCCCGCAGCCCGGGCTGCCCCTCCCCGCTCCTCCATCTGCACCGAGCGGTGACCCCGGCATCGTGCTCTCACGGGGGAGGGATGGAAGGAACCCAGCACCCACCCTCAGCCTGGGGGGGGCTGCAGTCGGAGCCCACCACCCACCACCTGCACACGTGCAGCGTGGCATCAGGAAGGCAGTAAATCCCAAAGCCCGGAGCAGCTGCAACTCGGAGCAGCTTTTTCCATAAAGGCAGAGGCACGTTATTTAAGGCTGCTCTTAAAACCTAATGTTAGGTTTAATAAGGGAGATAAAAGCATGCCAGCGGCTGTCCTGCATCAGCTGCGCGTTGCCGGCAGTGCTGGTGGATGGCCCTGCATCCCCACTGCACAGCCCTACCAACAGCCACCCCAGGGATGCAGTGACCCCACTCCTGGTGACACTGCCAGCAGAGGGCTGGCATCATGTGGGCACAAAGCCCTCGGACCCAAACGCGGAGCTCTTGGCCCCAGACTTCAGCTGTGCTCTCTCCCCTCCCTCCCCCCCCCCATGCTGACCTCTCCCCGCCTGCCCCTGCATGCAGGGCGTGTGCCATCTCATTAGTGTGTCTGTCCCCCAAAGTGAGAAGGGAGAGAGCGTGAGACCTAATTGAATGTAACTAATTATTCACTCTGCAAATGCTGTTTAAATGGGATTGTGAGGGACAAAATTACTCATTCTGAAAAGGGGAGAGAAAGAGAGAAAGACAGAGAGAAAACAAATAGAGGCGGGTGCTGGAGCTGCAGCTCCTTCTCTCCCCAGAATACCAATTACCGGATGAAGTGATTGTATAAATCTTTACCGAGTGAACGAACTGTAGTAGTCACTTACTTCTGTCCTCTTATTACACGGAAGCAATGAAAAATCGTCCCTCTCTGCAGTCCAGTTAAGGGCTCCCAGGCGCTGTGTGATGCTCTCTGCGTGGCAGTGCAGCTCGGCCCCGCTGTGCGTTGGGGTCATGACCCTACAGATGTGGAGCCAAGCGTTTGGCACTGGTCACGGCCCACATGGATGCAGCGTCGGGGTGTACAGGGCTGGGGGATCCCACACCCTGTATGGCACACGTCTGCCTGGTTCCATGTGGGGTGCAGTGGGTGGGCTGTGGTCACACCAATGCTGTGCCACCAGCAGCCCCGGCCCCCCCAGCCCTCCATCCCCAGGCCCACGTGGCTCAGCCACACATAGAGGATGCATTGGTAGAGTTATGCTGTTGGGTCTCTATGGGGCAAAGCAGCCCCATGGCCAGACAGCAGAGAGGTGGGGGGGCTGAGGGAACCCGCAGGCTGTCTTGCCTTGTGCTGGATGGGATCTGGCTGCTGCCGGCAGCAAGCTCCCATGCACTGTGTGGGTGTGAGGGAGTGATAACATCGTCATCATCGTAACAAATGCAGCTGTGCAGCTCCATTCTGTGCTTATTGGCTTTCTTCTATTTATCTATAAATAATTGCGGGGACACAATAGACTTTTAAGACTGCCAAAGAGTTTGTCTCCCTCCAGGAACCGTATTGCCACGGTGCTGCCACCTTATCTGCTCGTAGAAAGATGAGGGTGGGAAAAATATTTACTGTCGGGGATATTTGTCATCTGCAAATTACCTCTGCCTACAGCCTGCAGCAGGAGCAAGGCTGACGGCTCCCAGCTGCACAGCAGCAACACGAGCTCTGTGTTCTCCATGCGGCCCCAGTGCCACCCGAGCTCCCTCATGGGGCCAGCACTGTGCACGCAGGTCCAACCCTAGCAATGCACTCTGCCTGCTGCCCCCAGCCCCGATCCCATTGCATCCCACCCGTCTGCAGCGCAGCGCTTCCACGCAGCACTTATCACTGCAGTATCCAAGAACAGATCTAATTGATGTGACACCAATTATTCAAGTATCACTAAATGCAGAACTAATGCATCTCTGTGTACAAACCTCCTAGCCCCTGACCATGAAATTATAACTCTGACGTGGAAGGAGCCAGCATGGGAGAGCCAGCTCTGGGCCGACGCTGCCAGGATGCTGTCAGCTGCACAGAGGTGCCCATAGCCCCTCTTACTGCAGGAGAGCAGAGCCCTGCTGGCTGGGCAGTGCCAAACCTGGGCAGCATCAGCCCGGCTGTGCGTGGACGGCATGTGGAGCTGCGTGCTCTGCAGGCAGCACAAGAGTTGTTTCTGGACTGCTCAGCAGCTAGCAAGGCTCTTGGCTCGGATGCGGGCTGATGCTGAGAAAGGCCATTTGTGGCATCTGAAACCTTACTGTGAAATTAAGCTATGCCTGGACACACACAGCTCACCATAGCAGCAGTTTGCATTTTGTAAATTGCTTTTTGCTTTAAATTAAAGGGGTGGATGACGGCCCCATCGGGGCAGGGCCCTGCACCCCCGTGTCACACCACAGCCCCCAGCATCCCTGGGGCAGCACCTCCAGCACTCCTACCCGTGCTGGGGGACACAGCGAGGGGCAAAGCTCTGCCTCCTCCAGGCACATCTGGACGTGCTGCTCGGGTGGCCAAGGGCTCGCCCCGCTTCTGCTTCACTCAATGTTTTCATTAAAGACCCGGGTGATGGAATAGAGAAAGCGCTTATTAAATTTGCAGATGACACGAAGCTGGGAGGGACTACAAGTATCTTGGAGGACAGGATTAGAATTCAAAATGATCTTGACAAATTGGAGAAATGGACTGGAAAGAATAGGATGAAATTCAACAGGGATGAGCGCGAGGTACTGCGCAGTGACGGGAACCGGCAGCGGAGCAACCAGCCTGGGGACAGCAGGGGGACTGCGGGGCACCCCGCCATCCCGGGGCCGTGCCCAGGGCCCCCCTGCTGCCTTCCCATCGCTCCAGCAATTAGAGCTCCCGCCAGCACCCTCCGCCTGTGCAAACACCCGAGACTCATTTAAATGAATTAAGAAGACATAATAAATCAAAGGGAAATGAGGGGCTGTGCCTGAGGGCAGGGGAGTCACTCGAGTTTAATTACGTTGGCAAAGCTGCCGCAGCTGGCACGGCGCGTGCCATGCCCGGCTCTGCACGGGGGGCAGGCAGGCGCACACCCAGCACCCAGCACCCAGCACTCAGCACCCGGCCCAGCACAGCCCTGCAGCCACCCAGAGATTGACGGCGCGGCCCTCGGCGCTCAGCCGCTCTCATTGGTGTCTTCGGAAAGAGCTCCACGTAGAGGCAGCAAATTTATGAGACCGGCGCTGAATCCCCCCGTCACATCAGAGGCCAATTTGTCTTCCCAGGGCTGAGGATGAAATTAAATTATTGTAAAATAAATCTGTAAAAATGATGAAAAGAGCATCGCCCGGCAGCTGGGGCGGGACGCGGGAACACACGCACGGCCGTGACGGATGGGGCTCACCGGGTGATAAAGTGCCCGGGACCCAGCAGCTCAGGGATTTCTGCTGTAATCTCACTAAAGAGATGTTGTTTACAGGAAAAAAAGGGTATTTTGGGGGAGGAAATTGCATTTCAAGGTTAAAGGGAAAAAAAAAAATGGAGCGAGTCTCCCAAGGAGCCCACTTATGTGCAGGATGGCGGCAGAGACAGACGAGCACGTGGGTGCCAGGCAGTGGGGCTGGGGCATGAGCTGCACCTTGCACACACACGTGCAAAGGGCCAAGGGCCTGCAAGCTGGGACGTGCTGCTTCCCATTTTCAGCCTCATCCTACAAGAAAGATGTCGGGCAGATTATTTTTTGCTGGTACAACTGGAAAAAAAGAATGATTTCATATTCCTCTGCATTGGCTGGCCACTTAACAATAGGCCATTAGCACAGCTCAGCATGGGGAAGGGATTTATTTAGGACACACGGTCGCAAAGACAACCCAGCACCAGGTGCTTAATAGTGTTTTGGAGGTATCAGAGTGTTGCAGCGCTCAGAAAATGCAGCTGTAGGGAGTTCAGAGACTTTATTCTTCACTTCTGCGAAATCCCACAATACCAGCAGAGATTTCTCAGCTCTGCCCTAAGCACAAAAGCAGCGTGGAAAAATTAGCAGCTTTTTGGGGACGAAGTGCCAACCTGCTCCTGGCCACCGCGTGTCCCATCCACCCAGCACTGCCCTACTGCTCGCAGGCCCTGCAGGTCCTGGTTGTCCCAGTGCCACCCTCACCCCCCTCCAGGGCTCCCCGAGGCAACCAGCTGCCGGTGCCCCCCATCACATTGAGGCCAGGCTGATGGATGGGAGCAGAGCCAGGGGAACGCGCTGCAGGGCAGCAGGATGTGGGGCTGTAGGGCAGAGGGCAGCAGGTTGGTGTCTGCAGGATGGGGGGAGGTGGGATGGGGTCTGCGGGGTTGGGGGCGGCAGGATGGGGAGCAATGGGATGGATTCTGCAGGATGGGAGGCAGCAACACAGGGCACAGTGCAGTGAGGGGCAATGGGAGGGGGGCAGTGGAATGGGGGGCAGTGGGACAGGGCACACGGGGCAGAGAGCAGCGGGATGGGGGGCTGTGGGATGGGGGGCTGTGGGATGGGGGCTGCAGATTCTTCAGGCTGGGAGCGGTGCTGGCAGCCGTCCTGTGCAGCTGCGAGGCTGCAGTGTGCCGAGGTGGAAGTAAAGAGTTACTGAACGAGCAGACATTCAATAATTCATGGTCACTGAACTGCAACAGGAACAACGACAAATAATAATACAGGAAAATGGGGAAAAAACGTGAAATCGTTAGGCCAATGGTTCAAGCATGAAGAGAGCGTGTCTGGGCTGCGGGGCGCAGTCACGCCACGTGGGGACGCAGGGGTCAGCACCAGCAGTCCCATGGCACCTTATGGGCCAGGCACCCCATGGAGCTGTGCCTGCTGCCCATGGGCTCTGCCAGCAGTGTTGTGCAGCCCCCAGCGCCCTCCGAGCCCGGTCAACACACAGGGAACTTGTTCATGTCTCCAGGAGGCACGGAAGGCAGTGCTGCTCTCCCTAATTTTAATTAGCAATGCTTACCACGGGAGTTGGCAAACATGGTTTAATTAGAACAGCCGGGCTCCCTCCACGTGCTGTACCCTCCCCAGGGTCAAGGGCAGAGCAGAACAAGAGATACAGGAGCTGGAGAGACTGGTGCTGAGCTCTGCCACACAGCTGTGGCTCTGCACAGTACCTGGATGGCCCCATGCCCTGCACAGAGCCTCTCTCCCTGGGCCGGGGATGGGGCGTACACCCAGGTATAGTGGCTCAGCCTGTGGCCAGCAGGCACCGAGCAGGGAAATTTAATCTGCAGCTACAAGAAAGGCCGTAGAGTTTCTAGATGCATGAGCCTGCTTCTTCTGTCAAGAAGAAAAATAGGAGAGGGGCGTAGGGAATTAGATGAAAGCCATGAAGCAGAATGGGAGGGTGGAAGGGAGTCAGTAGAGCAGAGGTTTGGGCACTTCTGGTGGGGCAGGGCAACCCTGCCTGGGATCCAGACCCCTCTGCTGCTAACCCTGACCCTGAGCCTCACCCTGAGCCTCACCCAGCACCTGAGCTGCACACCCACGTGCTGCAGAGATGGAGCTGCTCACGCCAAGCCGGGTTCAGCGGTTTGGTGACAGGTTTACAAATCACCACCGCCGTGTGAAGAGGGAGCTTGGCTGCCTCGGCATTCATCCCCGCGCTAATTACTGCCTCCCTGAGGAACCCGATCCATCTTGCCGTAATTGACAAAAGGCAATTAAAAAGCAGTTGTGAATAAAGGGGGACATCTCTGGAGGGACAGCAAGGGGAGATTTAGGTGCGCCGCTCCTCGGCGCTCGGCCGCGCTCCAGCACGGCGGATGGCAACGAGCCGCCCCATTCCGCGCTGCGCCCGACGCCCCGCAGGAGCCCAACCCGGACACGGCGCCGCACCCCCGGGAGCT